AGGCACTGCAGGTCCCTGCCTTGGCCGGAGCTCGGCCTCCCGCGCGGCGCCGGCAGCTCCCCTGCGGCCTCGCCCCGAATAGCCCAACTCCTGCTCTCTCACACGAGAGTAGTTCTCACCATTTTACTTATTCACAACTGTGGTTTTTTTCTGTCAGAAAACTACTTGACCTTCTTTTTTTCCAGCATCTTTCTTCCTTAGCCTTTATGAAGGGCGATCAAAAGCACAGATGCAATCAGTATTTTGAAAGCTGAAAAATATTTGTGGATATGGCCAAATACTTGGCTGAGAAATATTTGTGGGTGGCAAGCATTCCTCTCTATTACTTGTTTTACCAGCTTGCTGGCAGCTGCATAGTTACACGAGCTTTTCTATAAAGTATAACCAGCCACATTATCAAACCTCAAATTCCACTCCCTTTTCCTCCCTTGCTGGCCGTTCCCAGTGTCTGCTGCAGACCTGTGGTCCACACGTACCTCGGGCAGCCACCTGAGAGCCGTGTGTCTGTCTCCCGCTCTCTTCCAGTTTCCAACCCTGCTCAACGGGCACATTCCGGTGCCGCTGCCCGGTCTGGACGGAGCCTCCTCTCCAGTCCTGCTCTCGCCCAACGCTCACAAATCCTGATGGTGCCTCAGCACGTTAAGGACTCCCTGGTGGATTCAACACTTCATTCCTCTGGGCTACCTTTTTTTTTCTCCTGTGTCATGAGAAGGACGTTGTGAAACCCTCTATTACTTTGGTTTGCACTTTTCATTACATGGATAATCTACTTTTATTATGTTAGCATTTTTAAACAGTGTTTATATATAAAAAATATATATAAATCTGTTTTGCATTAAATGAATTATAATTTTTTTATATCCTAGCTCTCAAGTGTTGAACACTTCTGTTGTTGATGAAGTACTTCTCTTAATGGATTGCAACAACGTATCTAATAAGGATGTGAAGCTTCTTTTAATCCCTTTTTCTGCATATTATGCATTGTGCTTGTGTAAACTATAACCGGCTGTGCCTTCTTTTGCATAATGTCATGTAAATGATTTATATATTTTCTAGTATTAAGATAAAAAGTTGAAAGACAAAACTAGCATTGAAGAGCCCTACGGTAGTATTTCAGTATTTTCTCCACAGATAGGCCATACGATGCAGTGTATCCATGCAACTTTGTATTAAGTGCTTTCAAAGTGTATAAAAATAGCCTTATAATTTTTCTTTGCTGAATTGAAAGACGTACTAAGTGCTGCAGCCAGGAAGTGCATTGAAGAGGAGCGGAGCCACGTTTACACACGCGTGCCCAGGTTCTTGGTGGAGCTGCAACAGGGAGCACAACCGCGGCCGCAAACAGTCACGAAACACTTGCAGTATTGGAAAGAGGTTCCGGTAGGAAAAGAGACTTTGCTGAGGATTTACTTGGCACGAACTTCTTGCAAACTGTCCGCGCTGCAGCTGGGAAGACTGCGGCCGCTCTCTGTTCTCCCAGGGAATGGGGCTCCTTCCTGACGGAGCATTTCCAGGTGCTTTGCTCAGTCGTGCCAAGTGCCTTCTGCCCTTGCCCTTGAAAGATTATTCTAGCTCAGAAGGTCACATTTCCCCCTTCTTCCAAAGGTGGACAAGTTGTAGGACTGTAAATTAACGTCTGGTGCTCGTAGAGAGGCATGCTGTACCCGTGGGAGGTTTCCACATAACTATCTGCATGCTGGATTAGAACACAGCACTGTGCGACTCTGTGTCTGCAACTGCAACTTATGAGGTATATCCTCTACCTTAAGGTGATGGGTTTAGTCATCTGAATGTCAGGTTAGGATGAGGCCAGACTCCCTGGCACCACAGATTCTAATCTTGGCAGGGCTGATACAAATCTTTGCCTTTTCTGAGGTGGCTAAATTGGGTTGAACACAGTTTCACCATGCGGGTCTTTCAGATGAGACCTTAAAAAAACAAAAAACGAAAAAAAAACCACCCCAAACCAAGCTCCTTGCTACAGACCTTAAAGACTTGACTGCTTTCTGGCCAAGCAGCCGGTAAGAAGTCCATTTTTCCTCATCTTACACAGTGAGTTGTTTGCTGGTTTTCTGCCTGGGTGCGCTTCAGCGATGCTGTGTGTGGTTACGTTGTAAAAGTGCTTCTGGATCCTCCAACAGGAAAGGTGCTAAATAAACATTTTATTAATGCAGCTGTGATGTTTAAAAGCCATTTTGGGGGCAGAGGTTGCCTGACAAAAGACAGCAGGAATTTTCCTCAGGCTCCCGGGTTGCACAACCAAAAATGACTCCTCGGTTTCACTGAAGGGTAATTAAGTGACTAAAAAACTGTCGTATCTACCTGGAGCACCAGTGCCGATAAACACAGCAATTAGATGCAAGGGATGAGAAAAGGAACAAAACAAGATTTTTTCCACTTGATTCAGCACTTGAAGGTCTCCAAGAGGTCCTATCCCGTGCACTCCAAAGGTGCGGCTTCACCTATGCAGAATTCATGAGCAAAAGGGAATCTTAGACCTAGCAGAGTCAAAGCAGGGTGGGAGACAGTGCGTAAGCGGTGGGACTGACTAGCCTAGGGGCGACTGAATCCCAGAGACCCAAAGAATCCCAACATGCCCTTTCAGCAGATGTCTTCTCTCAGGTACATGGAATTTTCCTTCAGTAACTACCTTACGTACAGGCAGTTACTCACCCTCCAGGGCCGACCATCGCCGCGTTTTTCCCAAAGCTGTAGCTGTCCGCTGCAGTGGGGCGGCGCCTTGCACATACTGCTGAAGTGACAGGGGAACTCAGAGGTTAAGGGCCCTGTGTTTCTCACTCCGAGTTTAAAGATACTCAGGAAGTATGTGGCCTTATTAAAAAGCATTGCTGAATGTCCCACTGCAATGAGAGAAAACCCCGCACATTAAGATGGGGGGAGGGAGTGCTTGACAGAAAAAAAAAAAAGATTCTTACAGCAAAAAGCTTCCAGATTCTCCCAATTCTGTTTCTTCCAAACTTTTAGTCCTAATAGTAAGGCTGACTTCTTCATTTTAAAAGGCTGACAATCTCCCCAGCTAACTTCTTTTTTTTTAAGATGGCAGAAAATAGCAATGCTAGGAAAAACAAAAAGCAGATTACTGTAAAAGATCCAAGAGAATTCACCAAAAAATTCCAAGGAAGACACCTAGAAACAGGAAGTAGCACTGTCTTCTCATCTTTGTGAGAATAAAAAATAGAACATCATCTTTTGCTGGTAAACTTCACAAGTGAAAAAACGGGTTGTCAAAATAAAATAAAATCCGCCTTGTAAATTGATCAGGATAGGGAACAAAACCTCTGACTGTTGTGGATGAAACCTAATTATAAAGGTTAAGTCCTGCCTCTCAAGTCAAAACACTTATCTGAAACACTAGGTTACTGTGCTTTACACTTCAAAGAAAACATTCTATTGGTAATTTTCTATTGAATTTTGTTAACATATCTTTTTAACTGTAGAGAAAAAAAATCAAATAAATGTTTGTAAAATAAATACTTTGAAAGTGTCAATATTTCTGTGGCAGTGGAGACCTCCAGCACTTGTCCTTGGCGAACAACACTAGGGTTACTCTTCCTTGGATATTCTTCTTACTAATTGCAGTTTGATGGCACTGGAAGGCTTTTTTGGGGGTATTTGCATGTTTACGTTATAGGAACTGTATTCACAGTTTGGCAATATATGAGGGTTTCAGTATTTGGCAGGCTGGGTACCTAAGCAGTCCGTGGTGAGCCCACCTTGAAACTGGTTTTCCAAGCGGCAGGTCCCAGCGCGGCAGCAGGGACAGGGTTCCGCAGCGGGAGGGCTGCACGCCCACAGAGCACTGCCGGGGGCAAGGGCAGCGACGAACGGTAACGAAGCAGAGAAAATGAGAGAGATTTGACACACGTCCATTGCACGGACAAGGGACAGTTTGCTTTGTGCGCATAAAATCGGCCTTGTCAGACCGAGATTTGCTCATCTGGAGAGAGCTACCAAGGGAACAGCTCAAGTGCCAGCAAGACGACTGCTTAAAGGGGGAAACAGACTGCTCTGAAACAAGCTCTGTAATTTTAATTCTACAAGAAAGAGCTTCTGAATTGAGGGACTGTGCGATCTCGTGCCCGGGGGAGGCATCTTTAGAACCGTCATGAGCACCAAGGCAATTTAGAAAAGGCACAGGAAGCACAGATCGCCTTCCATGGAATGACCTGCTGTTCCCTTCTGGTCATGAGGCCGGCTGTGTGCCCTGTCTGCAGGATAAACACACACAGGCCGCGCAGATTTAAACCCACCTACCAAGTCATCAGAAAGCAAGGGCTTTGGAAATGGCTTTTAGCCCCAGACACTGTCTGCCCTTAACAGCCGATACAGGAGAGCTCTGCCCGCAGCAATGTGAGTGCTGACCCACATGTCCTGAGGGCTAAGTGACCCACAACATGGTGAGAAGGAAAATACATGTATGCAGGTGAAGCAAAGGGAGAGCCAACCCCACAGGGGCTGCCCTGGGGGGCTCTGAAACCGCGTCTTGCACGGGCAGGACTCCCGGCGCTGCTACCGGGTGCTTTTGTCCCCAGCAGATTCCTAACATTTCATTTTGTGTCTGCGTCGAGAAGGACACACAGGTACAATTAACCAATTATTCCCCACGTGGCTCCAGGCCAGCTTCCTCCTTTTGTAAATAAGGAAAAGGACATGGAAAAAGAGGAAAAAAACCCCCCTTGAAAACAAGCTAGCAGCAATAGCTGTTTTTAGCTGAGAACAAGTTCATGATGCATAAGAGGGGCAGGAGGCAGGAGGGAGGCAGCGGGACAGGGCAGGGCATCCTTGCAGCCCGGCAATCCTCAGCGACCACATTCCAGGCAGAAGGAGGATCCCTTGATCCCCCTGCAACAAACAGGGAAAGTTTATAGCTCTCCGGGGGATAATTTGCTTCAAGGTATGGCATGTGAGGTTGAGCAGGGCTCTTATTTCACCAGGAGCACCACAAAAGCAATCTCCTTAAGAGGGCCAGCTGCTTAAGTGAATTGAGAGGGTACAGCCAGGCCAATAAATTAAGCAGCTATTTCAATCAGTATGTGCATGTGTGTGTGTCCAGGGTTGAAGCTGGCTCAGAAATCATGGAAGTTGAACGAGGCAAGGGATTTTAGAGAACACGTGAAGAAAATCATGGAAAATTTTAATGCATGTATTTTTCCACTCACATCAATCTTTATCTCCGGGAATGATAGATGATGTTCACACACACAAAATGAAAATCTGGAACAGTCAAAGTCAAATCCCACTTCTGACAACATGAACTTTCACTGTAGCCTGGAACAAGAGTTTGATTTCTCTGTTTCAACACTGTAGATGAAAGAACTACCTGGTAGGAATTACCTGGAAGGAATTACAAAGCCCACATATCTACTTGGCAATTCTGCTTTTCAAAATAATCCCGCCTGTACAGTCAGCTTTACAATATATCAGTTAGCTAAGCACACTGCTTCCATTATTTTTAAAAACTGAAGTAAATTTGTCAGTCTCTTAAACTGGTCTGACATAAATGGTGAGATATGAGTGCTGACCCACATATGTGCTCATGTAGCGTTAAATCTGTAACAGCCCAGATTCTGATTAAAAAAACGCTCTGAATGAATGTGTGTTCGTTCCTATCAAAAATTAATAACTTATGACATGCAACATTTCCTTAAAGGTGAGCACTGTTAAGGGGAGAAAAGGTACTAAGTGTGCTAACAAGGTTTAAACTCTGCCCTTTAGTATCAAGCTATAATAATCCAATGCCTGTGACATCATTTTTTTCAACTACAGTAAATTTATTTTTTCTCCAAAATGTCAGTGCGGGCTACAGCTGTACCTTTCCATACCCTAATTTGATTGGATTTATTCCAAGTCTGACCTTAATTCTAGGTATTTCCCGGATTTCCAATACTTAGCTTGTGGATGTTTACAACATGTATTTCATGTATTTTGTTCTCCATAACCGAATGCACTCGTAACCTTAATTCCATCTGAGCGGTGTCAAAGAGGAACAAGAAACTTTATTAAATGGAAACGCTCATGCACAAGCACAGCACGCGAGCAGCTCGGGGAACGCCGCCTGGCGCTTTGCCTTTTCGAACGACCTGCAGGTACAAAGCACACCAGTTCCCTCCGAGTTTTATTGCCCCGTCGAGGGCACTGCCCGTCACAGGGGCAGAGCAGCGGCAGCAACGCGGCCGCCGAGATGCTCGCCCCACGGTCTCCTCCTCGCCCCACGGCCCCCTCCTCGCCCCACGGCCTCCTCCTCGCCCCACGGCCTCCTCCTCGCCCCACGCTCCTCTCCTCAGCCCCTGCTTCTCCTCCCCAAGTGCGGAAGCGCCTGGGGCCTCCCTGCGGCCAGCACGTGGGATTCGGTGGGATTCAGTGGGCGGCTCCCCCGGGTTGTCGCCGGGATAAGCGACACTCCACAGGCCGCTGCTCCCTATGGGGCCCTCAGCCTCGCGTCCCGCCCCGCTCCCAAGGCATCCATGTTTGGCCGGGGGTTTCCCGCCAGACGGTGGTTGTGGGGGCGCCTCCTCCAGCAGCCGTGTCCTGAAGGCTCCATGGAGCCGCGGGCAGCGGGACGGCCGGGCCCTCCTGGCCGAGCCGCCCACACGGGCGGCGGCCTCACAACCGTCCCTGCCCGTGCAGGGCCTTCAGCTAGGGACAAGGGGAAGAACCCGGCCCGCACAGGGGCCCAGGTGCTTAAAAGCACGTCCTGAAGCTCCCGCCTAAGGAACGGAGCTGATTTACCGGGACATTCCGAGATAAACCACCGTCTGTTCAGAGCACTGCTGCAATAACATGGAACATCTTGTCATGTCTTGCAACAAAAAAGCTGAATTCCTGCTTCAAATGGAAAGCTCCCTTTGTCAGCTGCAGCTGATTCCCACCTGAATCTGTTAGTGCACTCCATTTTACCAGTTAAACCTTAAAGTCCTTTACTCATTAATATCACAGTACTCCTTTTTCTTCTATGACCTACGAAATGTTACTGCTCTAGAAAAGCTAAATCCCACATTTATCACCAGCAAACATTTACCCTGTATCTTCACTACTTCCGTAAAAAAAAAAAAAAAAGCAGATGTTTCTCCACCACTTGTTTCTTCAACACTAGCACATCTACAACGTATTTCCTACAAAGTCAATGGGTATAAAATCTAGATCAGATCCGTATCAGCTCTACAAAAATAGACAGCGACTGTTTCAGGACAAAGGTCTTTTTCCTCACGGGGCTCCCGGGCACAGCCTCCGGCAGCGGGCGACGTGCAGGGGCGCTCGCTAGGAAAGCGGCCCACGCTCCAGGAGGTTCCCAACGGCCTCGCTGGGTCCGTTGGGTCCCCCCCTGCTCCCGCTGCCCCGACCTCTGCGCTCCGCGGCCGCAGCAGCTCCTGGGCTTCAAACCGATGACTCCCCAAGCACAGATCTGGCTACGAGGTGCCCGCCGTGCCCCCAACGTTCATCAACTCCGTGTTTGTAACAGCACAGGGCCTCTGCTATTACGAATTTCAAAGCAAAACCAAGGAATTCCACATAATATTTATACTTTCAAAAGTACAATATTAATACAGGTCGGTCAGTTAGAAATAACAGCAGTTTGTTAGGTCTACAAGATTGAACGTAAAACCGGTTTACAAATGCTGAAAAGCAGTAG